AAAGACCAATAGACAGAGAGAGAGAGAGAGAGAAACAGACAGAGAGACAGAGGCTGACTGACTGACTAACTGACTGGCTGGCTCCTGGCTGACTGACGGGCTGACTGGCTAACTGATAAACTGATTGACAGACTAATGGAAACAGATCGCATTTTGATAAGGATAGACAGAGAGAGAGACAAAGATAGACAGAGAGACAAGCAGAGACAGAGAGACAAGCAAAGACAGACAGGCAGACAGAGAGACAGACGGGCAAACCAGGCATTCATTTTTTGTTCGTAATTGTTTAATGCATCGCTCGGGGCTACTGCCCTGTGAACCCGGAAGAACTTCCGGAAGATAATTAACTCAGGCCTGAATCGCGCTTCGGTACAGCACTGGGAGGGTCAGGGTGTAGAGCTTAGGGTTTAGGGCTCAGGGGCGTAAGGGCTTAATATAAGCCATGTAAGTAACTAATAATAGCCCCAGTCAACCCTCATCAGGGCAGATTTGCTACTAAACCTTAGGTACTTGGGATTGCAAGCAGGTTTGGAATGAGCGAAACATCCTGCATGACCCTAAGTACCTTATGCCGTGGGGAATTCTAGTATTACGGTATAAGGTCATGCAGGTTGAGCTTAACAAGAACACAACATGTCCTGAAGCTCGTTCGAAACCGCAGGCTTCCTGGAAAGGAAATGATGCCCATGGAAGACGCGGCCCCACGCCGCTGTGGAACTCTGGGGTCAGGCTACCTCAACCCTAAGCCCTACACCCCTAAACCGTAAACCCTATACGGTAGTTTCCATAAATACGGGGACCCCAATATGGACCCCAAAATATTATACTCCTTGTTTTGGGGACCCTCAAAGTGGTACACCTAATTTTCGGAAACCCCCATATATGCTTGTGGCTTAGGGGATAGGGCTCAGAGTCTAGAACCTAAATCTGATCAAGGCCCTTAAAGCATAATCGCGTCGAGCAACGTGCAGCAGATCTGGCCCATGGAACCTATACAGTTCCAAGCTTTCGGGAAATTTTCGAAGCTAGACCTTCCTTGAAAGATATAGTAGCATGCTGCTGGTGGAAGGAACCAAGTCAGGCACAAGGCTCAGGGTTTTAGGGTCTAGGGCGCCACTTTTTAGGAGGTATAATCCAAACTCCTAATATCCCCCTTACCGACCCCTGTAATACTCCCCTACATAACCCCTGATGATAACCCCCTTTAAGGATTTTAGACTACAGCTCATATACACTCACCAAGGACATCTAACAAAATCATGTCATACTATTCACTTACCAGATCTGGCCCGCACAAACTGCCAGATGGTCCGGAAACTGCAGCATTGGCTTCGCAAACCCTCCAGCGAATTCGGTCTTCAGGTGACCGGCCACTTGGGTAGTTCCCAAAATCAGGTCCCAATTTGGGTACCCCGAAATATTAGGTGCCGTACGGTGCCGTAATATAATCTATAAGCAACATTGCAAAGGGGCAACAGCCCACTTAACTGGTCGTAGAGTCAAGTTGGGGCACAGGACTGCATGGTGAGCACAGGGCCCCTGTGCAAAACATCGTAGTACTCTATTCTTCTATTCTCCAGGCATATGAAGCAGGACTATTCCAGGCTGCCGGCACCACATCTTTGGATTCCCGGGGCACCCAACTTCCAGCTAGAATAAGGGGCGTGTTACCCAGCGCTAGAATAAGGATCCCATAGCTATCACATGACTTTTCAGGGTTTGGCCAATGAAAACCCCCTTATTAAACTAAGCCCTGCCGGCCACACAAATGACCAAACATGCTTGAACAAGCTACATGCGCGTTCAGGATGCTGATCAGGTTCCCACGCAAGGACATGAGTTGCACTTAATTAAATTCTCTGTAGTTACGTCTACGGCTTCAGGATTGACCTGTACTTGGCATTCTAGAGCTAAATCCTAAAATCTAAACCCTGGAACTTATAGGGGTTGTAGACCATGCCACAAACCAAGTTTCTAGAATTTCTGCAAGTTGTGCAGCCATCACTTCCTGGGCTAGACCACTCTTTTCTGAGTTGCTGCTAAGTAACTTAAATTAAGTTAGCAGAATGGGTAGATATAGCAATTAATCGGGCTTCCCCAATAGAATAACTGAAATTAAGTTCCTTAACAGCAACCCAGTTTTCAAAGCAGCACTTCCGCACACTTTAGATAATGCTGCTGTGATTACAGTGCGTAAGTCGGTTCGGATCGCAGGATTGAAGTCATACACATATACATGTTTCCCAAAATGAGGGGACCCCTATATATACCACGATATACTATAATCCTTATTATGGAGACCCTCAAAAAGGCAACCCGCACTTTGGGAAACCCCCATAAGCATATATCTAAATCCTAAACCTTAATCCGGAAGTCAACATCCCGAGCGCGCGCATCCAGGTAGTCTTCTCAGCCAGGGTCCCAAGTTTGGTGAAGAGCTTTCAGTGAGGGTTTAGGGTTTAGGGTTTTAAGTAGGGTAAGAGTTTAGGTTGTAGGGTCTGGAGTAAGGCACAGAATTTAGATTTGGGGGTTTCCAAAAATTAAGGATACCAGTTTAGGGGTCTCTATTATAAGGGCTATAGTGTTGCGGGGTCTTGTTTAGATTTATGGTAGTTTCCCAACACAAGGGGACAAATCCCAAAAATGCTATTATCCTGATTATAGGGACGCCCAGAAAGGTGACCGTATCTTTGGAAACCCCATTTACGTTTAGATTTACTGGGTTGCTGTTGCGGCACTTTAACTGAAGTTACTATAACAAGGCGACCCCATTTTTAGCTATATACACAAGAAGGTTACTTAACTTAAGTTCCTCAACAGCATCCCAGCTTATGATCGGAGGAAGTCCACACGCCCAGCAAGGTAGTCATGCACCAGTGATTTTGCAGCTACGGTGTTGGTAATGGTCGTTTATTCCCTCAAACTACATGGGACCTGAAAATGGGGTCCCCTGTACACTCCACAGTCCGTTAAAATGGTGGCTAGGTGGTGTTATGATTTGGACCCTCCCCGAACCACCCAGCGTGCAGACAAATCTAAATCCTGAACCCCAAGCAGCATTTAATGGCATGTAGCCTTAACAACATGCTCGAAGCCCTACACACCGAACCTCAACCCTACGACCCCACCCTAAACAACTAACCTTAATCCTGCGCCGCAATCCCTGAATTTAACCCCGACCTTAAGCCAAAACCTGAACCCTAAACGCTGCATCCTAAATCTTTTTTCCATGAGCTCCTCTTCACTCAGAACGGGCCACTGCTTGAGATTACTGCCTGCGTGGTCCTGCGATCTGGCATTCTCCTGCAAGGAGCATCTCCCACAAAGCCTGTATGGGCTTAGGGTTTTAGGTTCAGGGTTTAGGGCAGACTTAGGTGTAGGCGTAAGTGTTTATGCTTTGCGTTTTAAGCTTTATTACAGGGCTCTCTCCTGCTGACGGAAGACATCCTGCAACACTTCAACTAGTGGAATCTACATGAATATTACTCCTTCTTCGTATTAGAGAGTAGGATGAACGAGATGAAGAATTAGGAGCTGACAGCTTATACATCATCATATAAACCTTAAACCCTAACCCCGCACCCTTACCCCTGAACCCCAGCCCTGGACAGACACTTAACTTTGAAGCCAAAAGACTTGGCCTTATGGGAATTTCCAATATCTGATCCCTTTGGAACTCCCATGTATCCTCTATGTTTTGGGTTGTCAAGACCGCCCTGTTTTGAGATACCCCTTGATCTCCCAAGAACCGTTAGAGCCCCCCTGCTGAATCCTGCGGCTGTGGCATGCTCAAGGGTCCGTCAAGGTGAGCCCCTCCTTTGGAGGCTTCTCCTTCTAGCGACAGACACGGGTGTTCAGGAACAGTCGCCCCTTCCACTAGTATCTAGCATGTGCCCTAGGGCTTCAGGGCTTCCACTGGCATGAAATACCGTGAGCCATCGCGAGATCAGTGGAAGGGATTCGGCGACTCGGACATTGACGATTGTTGCGCACTGACGCCTTGGAAATTCTTAACTTGTGCTCCTTGTCTTGCCTGCCCGCCTTTCAGCCCCTAAATCCTCACTAACCAGAGTCTTTGTGCCCAAGGCTGCATGTGCTTTGCAGCATCCGCTGCGCCGTTCGTCTACCTGGCAGGTACGGTGCTTCTGGTTCCACAGCGGGATACCCTAAACCCTAAACCCTAGACTAGGCCGCCCCACCTCTTGGATGAGCGTGCCTAAGCCCCTCGCCCTCTATGGCGAAAGGTCTACATAGTCCTGCCGCAGCACAGCCGGTAGCGGCAGCGCCCACGATGGGCCCGGTACCGGAACCTGTTCTCCTTGCAGCCAGCCCCTGGTTGCTGGCTGGCTGCGTTTCCAAAGGCCCTGCTAGGGGAGCCCAGGCCCGTCTCTGCGAGCGAATTTCGGGATGGGGCACCCAAATTTTTCAGTGCCTCCAAAGGACAGAAAACTGCAGGGCCTGCCTCAGCCTCCAGAACCTCCCTCTGAAGCCAGGCCTTGCAAATCCTCTAGAAATGTCCGAGCACCTCTCCCAACACCTCTCTAAAGCCTCCCAGAACCCGCAACATTTCAAGGCCCAATCCAGGCTTCTAACGCCTTTCAAAGCGCCTCCCAGTCTTTGCAAGGGCCTCAGGCCTTTGCCAAATCTCCAAGAACTGCCAGAAGGGTGAAAACCTTTGACCATCCTCCAAGGGGCATGCAAGAAGGTTTGAGATCCTTTTATCAACAAGGAAAACACAAGATGAAATGAATTTTTGTTGTTGACCAAGATGGACCTAACTGAGTTTAGGTCTAAACCCTGAAAGGAGTAGGTTTGGATGGCTTGGCCGCCTCATACGGCGTGGGGGGTAATTGTGTTAGATAGCCCTCTACAACCAGGCCATGGCAGCACCTCGCGTGCAGCCATGCACTTGAAGAGTCCTTGCAAACCCTAAACCCGAAGCCTTAAACCCTAAACCATATATCCCTGCTTTGTGGGTCCATACACTGCCCGGCCTCCTGTCATCGATGCTCCGCGGGCTCGCAGCTGCATAGCAGCGCCAGGCGAGGGCGGACAAAATCCTGCAGAACATCGGTATCATATAGGGATATGTGGGGATTATATAGGTTTATGTAAGGATTGTATAGGGATATGTGAGGATTATATTGGGTTACATAGGGATGTGTGACGATTATATAGGGCTATATGGCGATAATGGAAAAGAACATGGAAACTACTATGTTGTGGTTTAGGGTTTAGGGGTTTAGGGTTTAGGGCTGGTCCCTCGTCCAATGAGCTTCCACATGGTCAAGGCTCGGGTGAAGGCTTACAGCATAGCAGTTCAAAGCGGGAGGGGGAGGGCGTCTAGGGGTAAGTGGAATCGTCCTTACTATTGAGAACCTGATAACTGTGGGTGTGGTGGGGAGGGGTGTTCGGGAGTGTGGCTCTGGGGAGGCGGAAAGGGTCGGGGTCAGAGTAAAAACAACTTCTCGCAACCTCGTGCTGCGAATGCTAGGCAAGAATTGCCGTACAGGCATAACACGCCCAACAAGAGCCCAAGCACAACGACAGGAGGGGAAAAAGATGGCAACGGAGAACAGAAGCATGGAAAGAACAAAATAGTGAATAGAGCGGGTGAGAACAGAAGCAAATGCAGAAGGCAGAAAAGATAGGTTGAATAGCCGGGTCCAACAAAAAGATCCTTCATAGAAAGAGAACTGTAGAGAAGTGAAGAGGGTGCTAGAGAGCAGCAGAGAGCGGAAGCGGAACAAGAAAGCGGAGGAGAAACAAAGAGAGCAACAGAGAACAGAAACAAAACCAAGATCGCAGAACGGAGGACAAAGGACGACAGCACAGGCAAAGTGAAGAGAGCCCAACAGAATGGTCGAGAAATCAAGAAAACAGTAACGGTAAAAGGCGGGAGGACATGCATGGAGACTGCAGAGGGGGTTGGGGTGGATTGACGGTGGGGGGGGGGAGGTTTTTGGGGCGTGGGGAGGTATATAAAAGGTTCCAGGGGTCGTCATGCTGAATCGGGGGCAGGAGCATGGGACAAGAAGCTGAGTAGCTTACGTACAGAGGAAGAGCAGAGAAGCAAAAGAGGCACCGATGGGAACAAAACAAGGACCAAGGCCAGCAAAGAAAAAAACGGAAAACCAAGGAACACAACAAAATCAGCACCTCAACCCTCTCAAAGGGTGGCGGCTGCTCGTGGTGGCCACTGACCATCTAGAGAGGGACTACGGGGATGTAGCACCGCACTAAGCCCTGGATCCTAGTAGGGTTCGGGGCGTTGAGACCCTAAACAGGACACCCTAAACCCCAAACCCTAAATCTAAGTATGGTGCTCAACTACCCTCAACCCACAAGCCCCAGAGCACGTAACCTTCAGCTCTAGACCCTAAACCCCCAAACCATGTAAGCTAAGCCCAAACGCTAAGCCCCTAACATGTGTAGGCGGAACCTAAACCCTAAAGCCGAAACTGCTAAAACATCTAAGCCAGAAACCCTAAACCCCTAACCCATGTAAGCTACACCCTAAACTCTAAACCCTTAAGCCCTAAGGTGTAAGCCAGCACTACGCTGTAACCCCTAGCCCCTCAACTTACTGGTGGTTGTAGTAGAGAACACGAAATTCTAACCCTTCTATAATGCCTATATACTTCATTCCCTTATTCCCTACTAATCCTGAACCCTACACCTTATACAGATACATAATATTCCCTCATTCCCTACGAACCCCCAGTAATTTAAACATGTAAGCAGACGTTATCGGTCCTCGCCCTCTGAGTCGCTGAAGGTCGCCTTTCGCAGGCTCACGTGCTTCTCTCTGCACCCTTTCCTACTTACTGGGAATTAGTCGGGAATGAGAGAATATGATGTAGGGTTGAGAGTTGTGGCCTAGCAGGGAATAATGGAATATGTCATGTAGGGTTTAGGGTGTGGGTTAGTAACCTTCACACCCTTCAATGGCCATCATTGTCAATGTATCTCTCCAGGGCTCCCGGCAGTAGAGACGATGTCGTGCAGCACCGGCATACCCAGACCTCTCGTTGCGGTTTAGGGCTTAGGGTTTAGGGTTGAGGAGATGGGAGTTTCCAGATGTAAGGGGATACAGGGGGTGATATATAGGGATAGTGGAAAAGTGTTATCTACAATATACTTGGGGGTACGGGGTCCAAAAGTAGCGGCTGGAAACCTCCATCTGGACTCATGCCTTCAAGGCAAACCTGGCTGAGTTTCCTTCCGTCTGCATGATCTCCCGGCAACAGCTGAAAGGATCCTCCCATGGCTGCAATTTAGCCTGCCACCTAGATTTGAAGAGTTTAGGGTTCACGTGTTTTGTTGCAGTAGGGGGGATGCTTGATCCTAGACGGGAGAGAGAGAGAGAGACCAGTATGTGCATCAGCAACCCATAGGCTTCCCCAAAACGATAGTCTCCTGGTGCCATACTTCTCAGCACTGAAACCGTTAAACCCTCTCCATAACAGCTTACCCCGAGTCTGAAGCTTGTTCGCGAAAGGAATCTGATGATACAGGGTCACCGTACCCAAACCCTATGCCCCATAACGTAGAAACTTGAATATTTGCCCACTCTTTCCGCTTACAACCCTTATGCAAAAATAGCAGAATGTTGACAAGCCTCTTAAAACTAAATAGGTCCCTGCATGACCCACTTTGCTGAGTTTTTTTTGGGACAGGGTTCTGGTCTCGAGACCCGACACCCTAAACCTCATCTGGCCGAGTCTCTCTCTCTCTCTCTCATCTTCCTGATTTGGGGTGGCTCCTCTCAATTAGGAATACCATTTGGGGGGTGACTATAATGAGGAGTATATTATAGGATTTTAGGATCTATTTGGGGTCCGCTATTTCAGGGAAAGTACCATTCGCGGATTCCATGAAAACGGCCCTACGATCTCGTCCTTTATGTTGAAGCAGGCACGTTGCCTGTAGTGTAAGATGGAGCACGATCATTTCAATCTGCGGGCACTACCTACTGACTAGTCAACCGACCAAATTCCCAGACACTAGATGCCAAGATGCTGTGTGTACTGTGCTTCTGCTCACATACGTACTATGCTTCCAGAAAAAAAAGACAGCTGCTCAGTTGCTAAAGTAGGCCTCTGAAATTGCCCTTCAGGAATATACAGGGCTTTATTCAGTGGAACTCCCGTGCCATGTGTGGGCCTCTGAGTAAAGAAATAATGACCCCTCAACCGTAAACCCTAACCCTAGGCCCTGGACCTTCCCCCAGCAAGCCTCTCGGCTCAAGAAATGCATGCTCTGCTGAGACCTGTTCCGCAGCTTGCGATTTTTTCATGTGAGCTGTAGCCCAAACTCCTTGAAGGGGCTTATATAGGATATGATGTAGGGGATTAGTACAGTGGTTACGAAGTGGGATACTAGGAGTTTAGACTATAGCGCATATGTGGGCTTAGGACTCAGAGTTCAAGGTGCACGGCTACGGCATTGCGTTGAGGGTTTAGGGACCTTCATGGTACAAATCTTGATAGAGAGGAGTTTTCGCCGTGGCGAACAGCATGGGGCATTTTTCTGGGCTTGTACTTGTTTTCCTGTCATGGAGGCCACGCTCGAAGTCTTAAACCTGTTGAAACCCAAGGCGGGAATACATGCTAAGCCCCGAACCCTGTAATAAGCTTGAAAACCCTGAAACCCAAGCAAATCCTAACCCTAAGGGTCCAGAGAGTACAGTTATCATGTATTTCCTTATTTCCAAGAACCTAAGCCTAAACTTACGATCACTACTACACGGGCCATATGATGATTGTATGCGTAACTCTCACATTGATTAAAGGTCCATGTACGGTAGCTGAATAGGATTTAACTTGGGCCCCAAACGCCTATGTAGGAACCAATGCAACCCCCCAAATTTCATCCTGTTTTCAGAAGCCCTAAACCCTAAATCCTGAAAAACACCCCTAAACCCTAAAACCTAATTTGATATCCGGCCTCCAGAGGCTCGAAGATCGGTGAAGGGCGCACCGCCCTGATGTCAGGGTACTTGGAAAGGATTCAGGGGTAATTTAGGCATATAGAGGCTTCTATAGGGTATGTAGGGTGATATGTTTTGGGGCTTTGAGGGCCGAAAAAACTACCAGGATTCCAGAATCGAATGGACATGAAATGAAAATTGGGCTCATGTGAGGATTTATGGGGGCTATGTGTTTTTGCTTCTGAATTAGTGTTTTAGGGTTGCCTTTGGATTCAGAAATCCATTCCGGTCTAGTGTGATTGCTATGTTGCAGGTACAGGGTGGATTTAGGATTTCGGCTTTGGGGATTAAGGGTTCTGCAGGTAACAGTTTAGCGGACTGCCTATGGGCTTGTCGCCTACCATGCTTCAGGGACCAGTTCCTGGATGCATCATGAATGCCCGTACTACCCCCGCTACACTATACCCGCGGGCTCCACTTCAGTGACTTCTAATTGAGGGGAAATCTAGGGGTGTAGTATAAGGGAGGGTCATAGGTGAGTTTTTGATTGCATGTTGTTGCATTGCTTTGGGTAGAAGACATGGGAAGCTGGGGATCCCGTCGGGATCCTAGGCATGCCCTAGGCATGATAGAGATGCCCCTTATGGATGATACAGGTAGAAAGGAAGGCTAGTTGCGGTTTAGGGTTTAGGGCTCAGGGTTTATGGTGTAGGGTTCAGGAGTTCAGGGTGTCGAGAGGAACTTCGACCCAACTGGTTGGATGTAAACTGCAAGACCCAAACCCCAAACTACGAACCCAAAAATCCGCATGAATGTCCAACGCCTCTTGCTGCACCCCCTAGACCTTTAACGAGTAATCATTTGTAACAATTCCAGGGGTTCTACTATATTAAACAACAAAATATCGTCAAGGAGGGCCTGATTCTACATGGAATTTGGGAGCTTGCTGTACTGGTGCTAAGAGCGCAGTCGCCAAGCTCAAGCCTGTACACTCTACTGACCTCTCTCAGAAGCAGGAATCCGTAGGAGCCGTAGAAGCAGATTTCAACTTCTGAATTTTCAAGAACTGTCAATTTGAAGAGCCTACTTGCGCGTGACAAATTTCGGGACAGGACTAGACAAAACTGGAGAAACCTTTCCGATAGCATCTTTTTCTTGATGTGGTACCTGTCGCAGCAGACCCCACATATTCAAATATTCGGAAGCCTGGTCCTCAGGATTAATATAGTCCCCCGTAATTAGATAGAATATGGCTTTGGGTTAATGCGATCCCCATATACCCCATATTGATTCTACTTAAGGGGACTATATGCCTTAGAATGAGATTCTTACGTGCAAATCACATATCCACATCAAAAGAAGGACTCGAAGTACCGAACAATACCATTCTACTAGGTCTCGCCGTGGTTGACATACAAGTTTGAGGTACGCCTCAACTATACCAGAATTCTAGGCCGCAATCTTAGCCCCAAACCCTAAACCCGAAAAAACACCGCTTCCATTTTATCCATTCTGGTTTCCGTTTGATTTTCCATCATGTCTCAACCCTACACCTACTGTAGTTCGCATCTTCTTTTCCATGATTAAGGCTTCTGCATTAGCGCAAACAAGTTAGTAGTCAATGGTAGTTGTTTAGGGTTAAAGGTCTAAGGTTTAGGGGGTACGGGTCCGTTTCATTCTCCATTGTTGGAGGTAATACCCAATATCCCGAAACCCTTAAGCCCAATTGCTAGTTTCCATTTCTTATCCATCATCCCTATATAACCCCCTACATAATCCTTATATAGTTCCTGCAAGACCCCTACATAATCCCTATGTAGGTAACATCCTTCAACCATCCTATAGGGTCCAAGGACCCAAACAATAGGGCTTTAGAGCCCAAATACTACAATATTATGGGTATTTGGGCCCTGAAACCCTATTATTTGGGTCCTTAAACCCTTATATAGTCCCCATATATCCGTATATAGTCCCCCTAGAACCCCGTTTAAGGGACCCTATGATTTGGGTCCTTGGACCCTTAGGGCATTGCACAAAACCTCATATTTGAGAAGATCGAGCTGCTCTCGTCCAGACAGACGCGGGTGGCGCCGAACAACTACCTTGCAGCGGCTACATATGTATATACATATATGTATATGGGTGGTTGTCAAAATTATGGTCCCTTTTGGGGTCCCCATTATAATACGGCACCTAATATTTAGGGTATCCCAAAAGGGACCATAATTTTGACAACCACCCATATGTATATGTACAATCAAATCTTGCATGACCCTAAGGACCTGAACCTTGGGAGTTATGGTTTTATGGTGTTCGGAGGTCATGCAATATTCTTGTATCAACGCTGCTAGAAGGGGTTCTGAAAAGGTTGCAACCCTCAGCACAAGCGGAAACCCATCACTACGTGTTGTGCTTGTCATTGCTCTAGGAGTTCGTCCCTAAGCAAGTTATGCAACTGCTGCAGAAGAGTTGCGATCTGTGTCAGGCCTCTCCGCAAGTAATTATTTGAGGGTTTAGGGTGCAGGGTTTAGAGGACACCCTTTCAAACCATGGGGCTATGTTGGGAACTCCACAGGGCTCGCCAGTTTCCATGTTGTTTTCTATTTGGGTCTCTGTTGTTGGAGGTGTTTACCCTAAAGCCTCAACCCCAATTTGTAGTTTCCACTCTCTTGTCCATTATCCCTGTACGACCCTAACATAGCCCCTATAAAATCCTTATATAATCCTTGTATAACCCCTATATAATCAAGAAAATCCCTCTATAGTATATATATATATACACTACTAGCTTCATCGTGGGACTCTCGGTACGCAAAGCTTAGGCAAGTCGGGTGTGGACTCTCAGTTGGAGGACCACACTAAAGGCAGCTTTGTTCAGGATTTAGGGTTTAGGATTCAGAATTTATGGTAGTTCAGGGCTTCTCACCATAGAAAAGCACAATGATCATATTTCTATATATATATATACACTTCCCAAACCCTACGCCCCGACCTGCAATAATGTAGGGGCCTAAGTCCTTACCAATATCGTTTTGAGGTCTATTTACGGCACGCGATACCATGATTGAATTATACAAGGATCCTAGGACCATAATCTTGGTAATTACCTAGGCCTCTGCCCTACACTCCGCTCTCTATCCCTCTCTAAGTCCCTGTAGTCGCATCTATAGAACCAACTCTAATAAACCAGGTTAACTCTTTACATCTCTTTCCACTCTTCCATTCCCAGCCCTAAACCCTAAACCCTAAACCTTAAACGAAGCGCCAACATGCACCCGCTGCTTGGAGGGCGCACCTTGCCCATGCTGGCAGCTGTACTTCGCATCTGCAGGCGAAAACATGGTCTTGAGAGTGCTCTACTTCGGTTCAGGGATTATATAGCGAGCTATATGGGTTGTACAGTTATACAAGGTTATACAGGGTGTAGGGTTTCCCAAAATTAGAGGTATCCCTTTGGGGGTTCCAATAATAATGTGGACCATCGTATTTTGGGGTCTAGATTAGGGTACCCCCATTTAGGGGAACCACCTATGGCCGCATGGTTTATAATATAACGTGCTTTAGGTGCCATATGGGATCAATTAAATGGGTTATAAAGCATTCTATAGGTCGTGTTACGGTTTAGGGTGTTTGGAGAATCAATGGGAACATAACTCCCCACCCCCGAACATTACCAGTGTGGTATTCTACAATATTTTGGGGATATCGAATATTGAGGGGGCGAGTTATATTGGGGCAAGGGATTAGTTACTCAGATTTAGTGTTTCAGGTTTATGACGTTGTGGGGAACTATGGTAACTGCAGATAAAGACACATATACAACAACCTCTAGCCATGCGCTATGGTATAAACGAATGACCTTAAACCCGAAACCCGGAAGATACAGCCCAAGAGAACTCCATTAGCTCCATTATATATAAAATCGAAACATGTGTCACGGCAGTGAGGGTCCAGGTTTGAAGGTTAAAGAAAATGGCCATGAACTTGGTCCAGCCCGGTTGTAGATACACTTTCCCCCAACGTCTGAAAGCAGGGCAGCGGTCCTCCCATACCCGTAAAGTACCTGGGCCCATCAATCTCCATGCGCGTCCTGAGGCCCGACATTTCCTCTGCAAAACCCCGTACGAAACAGGATACCTGCTGTGACTACGGTATGAATAGGAAGATCATTGTGATCAAGCACCTTTCGAGAAGCAGTTACGAAGGCCGCTTTTCCGGGCAGGCAAGGTGAAAAAGCTAAGTGTGTTCGGGGTTTGAGGGCTGGAAGACCAGAACTGAAACAGGCTGATGTTGAGACCAGCTCCCATACAGTAGCAGTGACTGCTGCTAAGCACTGTATTTCCACCATTACTCCTTCAAAGGACTTTTAGTGTATGAGTGCTGAACCTATTGTAGATGCGTTGCCCCGGCCAAGACTGCACCTTCATTGCTTCCAGCGCTTGCGTTCTCTTCTCCTCCTGCGCCTGGGATGAAAGACTTCTTGGAGGTAAGATGAATCAACGTAACCAGTAAAGCCCTACCCTGAAAGTGTGTAGAATCATAGCCCTGTTGGCTCTTGCCTTGGGTCTGGGGGACTAGTTCATCTACTTTCGAATCTATTTTTGGGATCCAGTACTGTGGCCACTCCCTTCACCCCCAACTTGAAACTCGTTGGGAAGCAGGTTTTGAGATGCGGTGCGCTCCAATAAGATATATATATAAAAGAAAACTTATTGGAGGTCCTTGCAGCATTAGACTGGCTTACAGCTCCAGAGAAAATTAATGTACTGGTTCAATTTCTGCATCCGAGTACCCATCTTGTCGTGTATAGTCGATACATATGCAGCCTGGTGTTCTTAATGTGTTTCTCTGTGAAATTGCATTTCCGCCCGCTTGGGAGACGTTCTGTAGGACAGGAGTTTACATTGTCACAAATCGTGGTCCCGGATTCTTTTGGATAAAGTAAATGTATAGGCTACCTCAAACAAACCTCGAAATCATGGTGGTAGTTGCTGGGGCCCCTACCTTTCAGAATCCCTATGAAACCCAATATGAAGCCACTTCTCACTTTGCTTTCAATTTTCTTGTTCATTTGATTCTCCGTTGTTTGTGGAAACATCCCTAAGTCCTAAATCCTTGACCCTAAGCCCTTAAATCTTAACCCCTGTATGACCCCGTAGCCCCTACAGTAGGCCGCAAGACCTTGAGAAAAGGCGCAAAGATGCGCAAAGAATCTGCTAGCGAATTAGCGGTTGTAGTTTGAAACGGGGTGTCCCTGAGGGACCCCTGATATGTGGAGATTATAAGGGATTATGGCGGACCTTATTTGCGATTTTTTCCTGATTTTTTGGTAGTGTACGATAATGGGCTTTAAGCAGTGATTGAGGAAGGGGTTTGGCATCACCAGTTTTGGTGAGGGTATACAGAGTCCCTTAGGCATAGCAGTGAGTGTGAGATATTGGGAGGCTTAGACTACAAGGCCTAGGAATACCAAACCCTAGGGTGTAGTAGTTGGTGGTAGGGGTTTCGCATCGGACTTTGGCTCCAGAGTTTGGCGGTCGAGAGCTTGGGGGCTGTAGCTTGAGAATGTCACTTCTTAGTTTGTGAGCGTCTGACACAATGAATTTCATAAGGAGAAGGCCAGCGCGCGCTTCTGAAAATCAGGGTCTGCTTGCCTACTGGCAAGACAATCGTGTCCATGTTCTTCTCCGGTTGGGACGAGCTCCGAACTTGCACTTACCAAAAAAATGCCTGCAACCCTTCCCCCTACAAGCCCGCACTCCGACCGGAAACCCTTAAGATGCCCCATCCTAGAAATAAATAGATGCGTACACGTGTATTTCAAACCTATACATACAAAGATATTCTTACTGTCTGCCCGTACATAATACATGTATATATATATACATACATATATATAGCTATACATACATCTATATATGTGTATACGTATATATACCCCTAAATCCCAAACCGTAGGTCTGCATTTCTACATACGCATGCAACCAAGTAGCTGCTTCGATTGCCGGAGGCAGTGCCGCGCGCCCTGCCTGGTGCCGTTTCTTCTTGTTCTTTATATTCCATGTGGGAGTTTCCCGAAATTAGGGATACCTTGTTGGGGGTCCCTAATATAAGGACTACAGTATTTTGGGGTTTATATTGGGGTGCCCTTATTTTGGGAAACTACCGTGTCTCATGTCAACCACCCCCCCCCTTCCATCACAAATGGAAAGCGCGCATCGAGCAATCAGCATCGGCCATGTGCCAAAGCGAACATGAGGGTATGGGGTTTGGGGATAGGTTTGGGGCTTGGAGATAGGCTTGGGGTTTAGGGCTAAGGGGTTTAGGAATTAGAGTTTGGGGTTTCGGGCTTGGAGGTCCCTGGTATCTTATGTCCTTCCCCAATAATTAATGAAGTCAAAGCAACCGCATTATCGTCATATTAGGGACTTAGGTTCCTCATTTTGGTTCAGTGAAAGAGTTTAGGGTTCAGGGTTTACTTTGAATCACCTTGGGGTTGCCTAGCCTTTCAAGACTAGAGCAGCAACCAACATCCTTGTCAACAATGTGCGCTGAAACCTCCCTCATGAGAAAAATGTGAGCTGTACCAAGCATCAATGTCTGAGTGCAGTATAATCAAAGGAAGTTGCCTCTTCTTCTTTAGTTTTCCTGAACACTTGAAGGGGACATTCTCCACCGAGAGACATCATTCTAGCGGCAATCACCCATTCATGTTTCTGGCTAGGAACATTCGAGGTCAAAGCCGTATCCTGATTGCCCAATCCCCTGACTGGGTTGCTGTTAAGGAACTTAAATTCAGTTACCATAATGGGTAAATATAGTAAATAATACGGTTTCTCCAATATTGTAACTTAATTTCAGTTCCTTAA